GAAGATTTTAGGACGTTGGTGGGGGGGGGGTGGGTGTTTTGTTTTCCTTGGGGCTACCATTTGCTTCAATAGTCATCTTACGTATCATAATTTACATCTGGAGAACTCCATCCAGGGAAGATGGAGGCTCTCTTGGCTACTCTTCACAGCTGGAACTCGATGAGTGTGTTGTATCTTGTGCAACCACCCTGCAACAATCTGTGAGTCGTGATATTTCACATCAACTTCCTAAGAAGTTCCAGTCCTTCAAAGTGAATGGAGGATTTGGGATCTGTTTACTGTCTCATCTTAATTATCTCATGGCCTTGAGGCCTGTAGCAGAAACAAGACTTTCTCACTTAAACTGTTTTGCAGAAAAATACTTTTTCCACCAGAGGGAGCTGAGACTCTATATTTTTCAGGAGAGTCGACGCCCTTAGCTCTTTTACAGCTAATCGTTATAATGATGATACCAACTCTAGATACGCTTAGGATGAAAATCTGTCTGGTTTTCAACAAGTTACGCCCTTGCTGATGCCCTCATTTAAAACAGTAGAGTTTACCAGAAAGCTGCCTCAGGCTGGAGTTCAGCACTGTATGTTGTAGGCTCACTGGTAGAGCGTAAGCAAAATTTTGTGGGTTCAGTATTTTCCACTAACTATGCTGAATTGCGTTAAGCGGGTGGCTGACATCCATACAGCTAAGTCCATGAGCAGGCTCTTTGGAGAGCTAGTTTATCAGGCCTCTAGCTGAAAAAATAGCAACTGGATTTAGAGAGATGGATGTGATCTAATATCCAGTCACTTTTAGAGGATATGTGCAACTCATTTTCTTTACAAAGCAAGTTCTGAGGAACAGATTGATCGGAAAAAGTCATTTCGCAGTCCTTCATTGTGTACTCAGTAAATCATCCAGAAAGAGCTGTATTGTGGCGCTTCATTTGACACGAATGTCGCAAACATTTCAATTAGTAAAACAAAAACATGTTACCTCCTATATGCATTCTTCTGTCAGAATGATTATAGTAAACAAGTGTGTGCGCTTTCTTTGAAGCACCTGAAAGTGATTAAAAATCCATTTCAAACTAAGAACAAATGTTAATTTCCTTGCTTGCCCCTGCTGCTCACATTCATCGCATAGTTCCTGCTGTTGGTCCCAACTGTTCCTAACATGGGAACTAGGTCACAATTTACAAAACTCATTTGCATCATAATATATGAATCTGAAAGTCTTGCAGTTCATTCTCTGATCTGATCGAGTCTGGGGTAGAGGCATAAGGCTATATTTAAATTACTGGATTATCACATGATTTAGATTATCTGGCAAGTAGGCATTTATATGAAATTGTGACCCTTAATCCACTCTAGAGTATGGTTTATGACAGAATGAAAGGATATCACACTTTTCATAGTGAAATAAGACTGTGATCAAGCGTTGTCAGTGCTGGCAGCAGAAAGAAGGCTGACTTGCTGCTATTTTGGAGCAGCATAGTGGGGATTGTGTGAGAGACCAGCACAAGCTGGAACCATTAAGGAATTGTTACGTAGCTTTTGATATTTGTATGTAAAGTACGCTCTATCTCTCTGAGGTTGTGGGCATCTCTGTCTAGCATGAGGAGTGCTGTGTCAAGAGAACCCAGCCTGGGCACGTTAAGCGGTATAACTGCATAAGTATAGTGCTTTACTTGGACTTAAAATTCTTGCAAAATCTTGATAAACCCATCACCGAATTAAAACCAGCCGAGTTAAAATTTTTGTCCTATGATAAACCCATCAATAAACCCATTGATAAAACCAGCCGAGTTAAAATTTTTGTCCTTAAAAGTATGATTTACATGTCATGGTATCATCACTGCTTTATTAACCAATAATTGACACAGGTCAATTATATATAACAGGTCATATGATAGTTTCCATAGCCTATTCTATGAAAATTTATTTCAGACTTAATCTCAGAAAAATAACTGAAGCACTTCCCTTTAAATTTACTTGGAAAGCCTGTTGGATTTTTTTAGCAAGCAACACAAACATTGCATTTAGGGAACAGGACCAAAGGAATGTGAAACACCCAGAGGGAGTTTGTTTCCAGATCTGAGTTTTGGAGGTCACTGTCTCAGGGAAATGGTCTGTGTCGGAAGGCTTGTAACTGGAATGCGGGCTAGACAGGCTGGATGTTTTGTTTGTTTGTAATCACTCTGTTGGTTCTTGGTCGGTCTGTACCACAGTGACAAGTACGGCTTCATGTTCGAACACTGCAGCAAATTAAACCTCAGCCTGGTGCCTGCTCCAGGTTCAGGTTTTCCTCTAACTCTTTTGGCAGGTATTTGCAGGCTGGGAGCAGTGGCCCTGCCTGCGTGTCTGGGTTGACTTTGTCCTCCGTCTTGGTTCTCTGTTTCTGCATGACCCATGTCCTCGGAACTTTTTCTCATAAGCTGATGGTATCCACAGTCAGGCTGTGAAAATGCAGGGTTGTAGGTGGAGGCTGGCCGGTATGGAGAACAGGAAGAAGCCCGAGCAAGGCTGCAACAGGGAAGTTCTTGCTTATAGCATGGTCTCCTGAGCAGAAGTGTGATGGTATGCCATAGGTTGTGTTTAGCCTAAATAGGTATTGCAGGAGGAGAAGCTAAGCTAGTGCAGTCACTTTTGATCTGTTCCTGAACAACTAATAGTAGCTATACAAAAGATACTTTCACAAACAGGGCTATTTAGATGGGGAAATCCTGCAGTGCTCCCTGCAGCTGATCATTTCTGCTTTGCTGAGAGGTATCATTTTAGGCTGATGATGGGAACAGACATAAAGGTGACCTGGTTATAAGGGGGAAAATATTGAACAGAAGAAGATGTCTGCTCAAATACTGACAGAGAAAATGCCTGCCAGCCTGGGAACCAGGCCTGGGAATCAGAAGCATCCTTGAGGAGCACAGCTGGCATCTTTGAAGTGCAGCTGGATACCGAGAAACCAGAGACATCCCGAGATACCATTGATAAGTGCAAAAACAAGGAACTGTAACAGCAACTTACCGTCTGGAAAAGGGGGAAAACATCCTGAGAAAGTAAGCGTTGGTAACTGCCACTGGCTGTTCTAACTCACAGAACAGAAAAACAGTCTGATAAAACAAAAATTGGTCTGAGAGAATAGAAAACATCACCAGTTATTGGCTATGCCAGGTGAAAAATAGAAATTAGCAGCATCTATTGGCTGTTCTGGGTGGTGGTGTCCTACACCCCTTTATGTCTCTGTGATATAAAAAGGACTTACTTTTTACCTAAAATGGAGCCTCTTTCCCACACACGACACCCTTTTTCCCATGAGATTTCCTCGGCAGAGCGGACCCTCGCCAGGGACACCGGACTGACTCCAGGCTCCGTGATACGGATCATCATCCAGGTGAGACTTCATCCATTGTCAACTGGCCTCACTTCTGGGATGGGTTTGATTGACCCCACTGCTGGGATTGGTTTGATGAGCATTTGGTACCAGTAACATTTTTTTTTATATATATAT